AAAATTAACTGTTAAAAGAACCAATTTTGTAGAAAAATATTTTCATGGTAGAAATGAAACAATGTATATTTTAATCTCATAATTACATTGAAGATATACAAAATTACGCGCGATAACTCTCGATTTTCCACTTTTTAAAACTAGTAAAAAATTAATGTCATTTAATTTTAAATATTGTAAAAGCTAGGTTAGATTAGGTTGAGTTCGGCGCAATGCACGAGGACAATCTGCCTAAGGAGAGGGATGCTTAGGTTTTAAAAAAATTATAACTTAGGATTTGGATATCCAAATGATAAAAATGCTCCAGATAATTCAATCAGGAATAGCTAATTTCAGAAACCATGCTATTTTCATTGAAATAGGAAGGTTGAAAAGCATCCACTGAAATAGCATTCTAGTCTATAAATCAAAAACAAATCTTTTACAGATTAATTCAGGAATATATTAATTACATTTGAATTCGGAAACTGTGTTCAAAATATTTTTAACATTGGTAATAACAATTCTTAAAGTGAAAGAAGCTTTAGAAAACTTCAGAAAGCTTCAAAAATTTTAATTGTATATATAAATTATTAAATCTGGATTAAAGAACTTTCATAAGTTTCTTTCAGCTTGTCATAAAACATCTCTTTTTGGGGATTCTGTTTGTCCTCAGTAGGTATATATGTAATGTTCACGTTTTTTTGGTATGGTCTTCACTTGTATTCTACTAATTCTTTAGTTAACAGGTTTAAAATCTATAACTGTATCTCTAATTCTTTTATTTACTATGAACCCTGATCCAAAGTGCTGTTGTTTTATCTTGGCAGCTCAAATATAGGCTGCAACTTCTCTTATTATCTTCCTAACCATCTTACAGTAATGGATACATTCTCATAATGGCAAAAATAATAAGCTGCTCTGAACCATTTTAAATTCTTAAAACTAATACAAAACCGAATGCTGCACTATGATTTCATTAGAGAAATATTCGTTTTATAAATGAAACAGAAGCCAGATGGCCCCTCCCCTTTCAACCAATAACATCTAACTTAATTATCCTTATATTTTAACATACCGAATACATTATTTGTTTTTTTGCTTCAAAATGATACCAATATATTGAACATACCTATAAGACAACAATTTCTCTTTATATAACTTTGAATATGTTTAGTATGCCCAATCAATTATGATTCTTTTATCTGACCTGAATATTAACACTTTTACACTTATAATTAATATTATTTTACACTTATATTATATTATTTAATATACACTTATACCACTTATAATATATTAATTATACAAATATTAAATAAATGTTAAACTTTTATGTTACCCAAAACTTAATGTTATTTTAACCTTAATCTTAAACTGCGAATTCATTTAAAATTGTTCTCTTCTTCGGAATTTCAGATAAAAATGTATTGTTTCATAAAACAGCTCCACAATTATTAAAGACACAGACAGCATATGGAAAATTTAGCGTTCACATTTATTCTCCCCAAAGGAATGGATCCATAAAGCCTAAATTGGGTTACTTGATTAAACAGAAGCAATTGTAGACTAAGCTCTATCTCCATTCTGATCAATGGAATCCACAGATTTTGTATTTTCTTTTTCTTACCATTTGGTGTTTTATGATTATTATAAAAAAGCAATTTGTAAAAAAAAAAAAAAAAAAAATTATTTGATGAATCAAAATATACACACAGCATTAGAATAACAATCTCTGCGATGTGAAAACAAACTTGTAAAACATAAGAGAAGAATCATTTTTGACTGTCCCGCAAAGTCGATATTCATAACACTCATGTACTAGAGAAAGAAATCAAGACGTGACATGAGTGTCGATGAAGAAGAAATGTACACTACGCAAACAAACAAACAAAAAGGGGGGTCAGCTCTATATCTCCCGTTTGGGCCGATTGACGAAATTCATCTTGCGATTTTCATGTCTCGAAAGCGCGACTTAGGATATGCATTATATATATATATATAGCATTGTTCCAATGTAGGTATTTTGACACAAAATCGGACTTTTTCTGAAATAGCATATCTTTTTTTTTTTTTTTTTCCCCATATTTTGGATCTACGAGTGGTGAAATTACGCCGAATCGCACGATTGCGATTGCACGTTTTGCAAAATCGCACTATTAGTTTTTTAAAATTAGCCTCAATTTTTAGCTCCTATTGTTAATGAGTTTGGTATATATTTATAATCTCTCTTTTTTTTTTTTTATTAAACTTATTTACTTCTTTCCCTTCGAAATTCGGTTCTTCCAAATAAAATTCACCTTTTTTTTTAAGATTTTTTAATATTTTTATACATTCTTCAAAAAACATTTGAATATATCTAGAAATTTTATATATCTAAGTACACGTATCCGAGCATGCCTGCAAAATTAGTTTTTATTCAAAATTTCGATTTATATTTTCGAGTTTGAAATTTGGCATATTTGTTGAAAGCGATAAACTTAAATGTGGTTAGACACTTTGCTAAAATTATTTGGAAGTAGGAACGATGGGACTTTTTTCCGCTCATGCACAACGAAAATGTAGACTAGGTGCCTTTTTCCACTTCTGGCATAATGAAGGAAAGGAAAATGTTGTCTATTTTAAGAGTTCGCCACGTGAATTATTCTTGGTAAACTGAAAAAATTGCGTCAACATAATTTTTGAATTTCCGTAAATTGCGCACCAAATTTTACAAAATTAATATTTAGGTAATTGAGTCATAGAGTTGAAATACGGAAAAATTGTATGTATTGAGAAAAAGTCCGATTGTGTCAAATACCTATGTTAGAACATGTAAGAGAAATCTAATATATATCCTAAGTCGCGCTTTCGAGACATGAAAAACATTTCAATTTTGTCAATCGGCCAAGTAGAACGGGAGATATAAAATGTCCCTTTTTTTTTTTTTTTTTTCCGCAGTGTACACACATTTGATAAAACCCCCGAAAGCGACTTGATATGACTATTTTGCACCTCTATTTCAAAAACACATGGTAAAAAATGCTCATAATTTGTGTGGGACTATAATTTGAACCTATCAGCACATAGAGTTAGCCTTCACTAACCATTATGCTGTGAGTATCTGCCCCCAAAGTTAAGAACACATGTTTTTCAAAGTCACCATTGCAAAATGTCAGAACGTTAAATTGACAGTTCAAATGCATGGGCAGTAATAAAGTTTAAGAAATTATACTCAAACAAATAGCGCCCCTTATTTTATGAAATGAATATTAGATAGAGTTGGAGAACAATGCAAAATTGTAATTTGTCATGAGTGTGATTTCTGTTTTATACAGTTTCGTGACATATCCAGTATATTTTGAATGTCAGGAGAATCGTTTGCCCTATTCGTGAGGTGGCGGGCGATCGGATCGATGAAATGCGGATTCACAAGATGTGCTGTAGACTCTCAATGTCTCTCGTATTGTGGTCTATCGACTATGAATTAGTTGAATCCGAGGATTCGTGTCTAAGACTTTCCAGCAACCTAGAGTTACAACAACAGCGGGAGACCGTTATTTAGCTCCTTCTGCCCGAAGGAGGATAAATTACGTGTCTCAGCTCATGGCAATCATTATGGCAACAGGAACAGAATCTCAGCTACTACGGCGCAGACGCTTGCACATTAATGTTGTATGCAAGCGAAATTTTTTGTGTCCCCTTTCCAAACACCGAGTGCCCGTTATGTGGAAAGAGAACACGTTTCCTGGCCAGTCAGCAAAGGCGTCTTTCTTTCACAGATGATCGGCTCAAATTGGAGAGTGATTCTGGTCGTCAGCTAATTTGGAAGGACAACGCCCTATCTTCTCGGTGGTCACATACCTGCTATGTTTATGTCCTAGGAATTGACCAGTGTGAGATACTTTGATTAATTTGTCCGCCATATGGCGTGTTATTTGTCTGGATTTTTTTATGATGTACGAAATGGCGCGAAGAATATCTTGAGACTTGGACCCATTATGGAGCGGATGGAATGGCCAGCTCAATTCCAGACCTGATCGTAGAGCATCTTGGGACTACCTTGGTACAGTTTGCGCTTTAAGTTCTTCTCCTCCAAGTCGGTAGATGAGCTGAACAAGATTACTCCATATGGGTCGTTGGGGCCCACCAGCGGCCGAGCGGTAAAGCACTGAACACTGGTAGTTCGGTCCGGGTTCGAATCCCGCGAAGGCTGGCTGCATGGTGTTTTCATGTTTTCCCCATGTGTAACGTGTATACGATCCAGTTTCCCTAAGAAAGTCCTCCACGAAGGCATTCCTCCCCTTAGGCAGATAGCCCTAGTGTGCTTTGCCATAATTAAATATACATACATACATATATACATCTGGTCGTTGCGTTGCTTCCCATTTCACTGACTGACAACTTGATTGACAGCATGCAGCGTCGCTGCCGCCAATGTATTGCAGCTAGGAGTGGACACATTCCTTATTATAACCCATTTTTGTAATGTTATTACCCCATTTTCCCTCAAAAAACTGTGACATACTGTTTCTCCAAGAGTGGATTTCACTGCCAAGTGTGAAATTTTTTGTTGTAATTCCTGTTTGTGTTGAACTTTAGAAACGTTCTATGTCGCATTCATTAATGAACTGTTTAGTGAACAAGTCCTGTAATTTTTTTGTTTCTATGTTGCTTCATTCTCAAATTAGATAAAAAAAAAAAAAAAAAAAAAAAGCTGTTCCTTAACTTTTGGAGGACAGTGTATAATGGTTACCCATAACAAGACTATCCCGTACTATAATGGAATGATATTATCCCATTAGAATGTACATTTATCAATACCTTCTGATACCATTTTGAGTTTAATTTCAAAATTCACAAAGCATATGGAGTAACTAGTGGTATAACTAAATTAATATAAAAAAGATAAAATGCCTGAATTTAAAAATAAATATTACTGTAAAAATAATAACAGTTATGCCAACTGTCAGTTTATAGAAAACAAGTTAGAACACATATGATTTAAAATACTAAAAAATTTTGTAATTGCTTATACATACCGTCTAAATCTTGATAAAGTTTTAGCAGCTTTCATTTCATCCCAGTGTTTACCATTTTTAACTTCTTGCTCTAACATCGACATAAAATCGACAATAGCAACAGCATCTTTTAACTAAAAAGAAAATATAAAATAAGCTGAAATAACTTACTTTCTTTAAGGCAAAAGAAAAGGTAAAAATAAAGAATTATAATAAGTAAAAAACATGGCTTACAGAATAAATATTGATATCAATAAAGTAAAAAATGATTATTTTTTCAATGAACAACTAGCAATATAATTTACATTACTCCTTCTGAGAGGAAATTCTGAACATTTGAAATATTTTATACATATACTATGTGAAACAGTCTTACAGCTGCATTTTTCATCCCGAGGACTTCAACAGAATTTTTAATGACTTTCAGACAAGCTACTGGTGATGGACCATCTTCCAACTCCCTCTTTTCCTGGAATAAAGAGATATTGAATTTTTAAACTATTTCAAAATGTTACATATGGTAAGACACATGCCATACAGATATAAAACATTTATTAGAAAAAGTAATTTATATGAGGACCAAAATCAAATAATAAACAATGGAATTATATAAGTCCTAGCAAGATATAATTATAAAAAAGGGGGAAAGAAGGATAAAAGGTAGAAAAGGAAAATGTAATACATTCATCAGACTTACTTCAGTTTCGAAACCTAACAAATGGAATTCAAAGTTTTATGAGAAAATAAATTGTATCGTATCATAACTGAATAAATAATCCTTTCCAGCCCACTTGGCATTGAAAGCTTAATATGCAAAGTAAATAATGGCCAGGTGTTTTATGCAAATAAAATATTACTGTCCCTTTTTCGCTTGACAAACTGTTGAGAAATAATTCGTGTAATATTAGCTGTTTCATATTGTATTCACTCACATACTTTTCTCCATCACACAATTTTTCCCTTTGTTTTATTTACCCTACGATTTCGAAAATTCTGATATAAGACAGCAACATATTATATAGTATGAATAAATTAAAAATACATAATGTTAAGTAAAAAGAATGGCACTGAAACCAACAACTATAACTCATTTCTTTGAATACATGATTTTATAATATGGTGTGCTTTATAATCCATGAAGTTCCTTTTAACCCCTCTCTTCAGAATGATATAAACTGAGTAAATTTCCCCTCTCAATTTTTGAATGGTAAAATTAGTAAAAAGACGGGAAAGGGATATGCAAGTAAATATTAGGTTGTTTCAAATGACTGGTTTGTTTTATTTGATTATGGCAAAGCACTTGAAATTTGCCAAAGAGGAGAATGCCTTTGTGATGGACTTTCTAAGGTAAGTGGCTCGTATCCACATTAGACATGGGAAAAACCATGAATACGCTAATGTGGCTAGCCCATTTGCTTGGAATTGAACCCATATTGAATTACCAGTGCTCAGCAACTTAACTCTTCAGCCGCTGGTAAGCTTGTTGTTGCAAATGAAATGGCCGTTGAATAATGCTAAACTTCTAATGGTTTGAAAGGAAATAGGTGCTGAAATTTGCACACATTTTTTTTCAGGTGATGATATCAGAAGTATGTGATTTAATTGTAACATGTGTTTTATTCCATGAACATTAAATATTGGATACTATAACATCAAATCAAGAATACAGCTTAGTCAATTAAGGTCGCTTTACATCAATGAGTTCAAACTGAAAAATTCTAAAGTGGTTGCAATAAAGAACATGAATTAAGCACTCGGTGGTGGAACAACTAATAAGAGTTGTTCATTGAAAATATTTCATTTACCAATGGTTCTCGCAAAAGGCTCTTATTTTCTTGCAAACGTTGTAGAGACATTAGGTATTTTTTGGAAGCAGAAAAGATGAAAAATAGCAACTGCCTTCACCGGGAATCAAGCCCACGGACCTCAGGAATACCAGCCCAGCGTGCAGAACCACTACACCACGAAGGTACGTTAAGAAAGTGGGAGAAATACCTTACATACTCCCCCTTTCTAAAGGGCGACTGGGGTTTCTAGGGGACCCAATCGCCAAATCCTGGATGTGGAGAGTCATCATCCACAACCCTTTTAGTTCGGGCGCCACTGTAGAGACATTAGGTATACTTTTGGAAGCAGGAAAGATGAAAAATAGCAACCGCCTTCGCTAGGAATCGAACCACGGACCTCTGGAATACCGGCCCAGCGTGCAGAACCACTAAATCACGAAGGCATGCTAGGAAAGTGGAAGAAATACCTTACAACGTTTATTCAGAAAGATTAAGGCTACAAAATGAACTCTATGGCCATCCTCCTTCCTCTATTAATTGGAATGGATTAAATCATATCAGATCCATGACAGACTGCATAAGAGATCGTCCGACACTAAATGTATCCTTTTCAACTATTTCATAACACTTACCAATGACAGAAAAAAAGCAAAAAAGTTTTCATAAATGGGTTTGTTGGGAATTCACTAAGAACAAAGCATGGCGTTCAGAAGTGCGCACTTAAATTTGTCTCAAGATAAAAGGTTCCTGTAAAACTGTGACTGAGGTTGAGAAGTGGCTATTTTAAAACAATTCTACACATTCCTCACAGCAGTTGCAATTGAAAGATAACTAAGAAAGACTCCAAAGAGACCTTTGTGTTCAAAGAAAAAAGAGGCTCACCATGTAGTGTTCTTCTCTTTGCGATATTCCCTACTGATTTCTTCTAGGAGATGAAACAGATACAGCTCGATATTGTACAAACTAGCTGCAAATATATGATAAACTGTACCTTATGCGACCAGCACTTAAGAAAACAGACAAGGAATTCTACTGTTTCAGAATAATGCCCAACCACATACGACAATGACAACTATACAGCAAATCAACAATCTAAGATACGAAATAGCGCTTAATCCTTCATACTCTCCTTATAATTTTAAACAGACTACTGTTCTTTTTCCTAGCACTAGAGCCTAATAAATACTTTGCCTACAATTTATCATGCAGTGAAAACTCCAGAGATATGGATTTTTAAAAATTCTATACATGACTTCACTATACTTTGGCAGCAATGCACTGATGTTGCTGGAGATTACTTTCATTAAACAGGTATTTCCTTTTTCTTTTTCAATCATTCTTAAAATCAGTCACTTCATTTTCAAGAGCACAATATAATTATGAATGTTATGTGAAATCATTTATCCTAAAAGAGATTTTCTATTGAGTGACTGAGTTTTCATCAGGAAACTTTGAGGAGATACCAAATTTAGCAAGTTTCTGAACTGAAAATCTGACATGCACACAATTAAAATATTACCTTATAAAGGCTTCTACAATTTTTAATGGTATTTTTTACTATATGATACTCTTCTCCTGGTGTTATTAACTACTCATTCTCTTCCATGAGATGAGTAGATAAACACAACATTTTCTCCAGAAATGGGGACAGGAAAAGGAAACAAACATGAGACATCACAGTCTGGTACAGGAGTTGAAAACATGTTCATGAAGAGGGGAGATACTTGAAAGGAAAAATAGTATCACCCCCCTGAATAGGACAGTGTCTTAAGTAAACTAGGTGGAGCAGAATTAACTGGCACAAAAATAACATGAAAGTGAACGGCACTCTCATTAAAAGATAAAATTCAAATCTTAAAAGTTAGATGAATTCAAACCTTAAACGAGAGTAAGTACTGGTTTGACGAAATATGAATTAGTAAAGAAATTGGATATTCCAGTGACAAAGCTAAAGATGGTTGTTTGTGACAGCTCCCTGAGGTTGAGGCCACTTTGCTAAAATTTCTCATTTAGTGTCGTGCATCCAATATTACAGCGAACTGCACCATGTTAATCAGGAAGTCAAAAGAAGTAGCACTTCAACTGAATGTGAAAGGAAACTTGCTTTTCAGCTGGATGGCTGCATAGATTTAAACTGCGCATGGAATCTCGTGTTTTATAACAAATAATCAAAACGCGTTCTTGCTAAGTCGGTTGAAGAGTGACTCAAATATTTCTTCCACCAAAATATATCGATATGAATTAAAAGACTTTTTAATGTTGATGAAACTGCTCTTTTCTTTAAACTTATGCAAGCATGAACCCTAGCTTTCAAAGGTGACTAGTATCACGCAGTTAAGCAACGTAAAGCATGCCTTACTGTTTTGAAAAAATGATCACAGAAAAAATGAATCTTTTAGTTGTAGGAAAGTCCCAAAAACGAAGTACTTCAAACATGTCAAAACTCTGCAGCTAGAATGTTAAGTCAAATAAGACAGCATGGATGACTATAGACATTTTTACACAATGTCTCAAGAAAACAGACAAAAAAAAAAAAAAAAAAAAAAAAAAAAAAAAAAAAAAAAAATTACTTTTTATGGATCAGTGTACCGCTTATCCTCAAACGACAGAGTTATTGCAAATTGTGAAAGCCATTTGCTTCCAAGCAAATTAAACTACGCATATACCTGCCAAACTTTGACACTCAAAAATCAGATTTTTCACAATGTTAAAAAGACTTCTTAAATGATAAAAATATAGTTTTTAATAATGAATTAACTTTAAATAGTAACTAATTCTTAAATGCAAGCAACACAAAAGTACCTTACACTAAAAACATTTTTATTACTTGCATCATTTAAGAAAACAAAACAACAACGAAAAAAAAAAAAAAAAAAAATACACTTTAATCAGTTTTCGTACAAATGTTATAAACATTGGCAGATTTTGCTTTCTTTAAGAAAGAAACTTCATAATTTTGTTCATAGCAATTGCCATGTAGGCCTGCTTTCGTTAATAAAAGTTTTTCTAATGTGTCATCGCAATATTAGATCTAAATTTAGTCCTCATTTTCGCAACAACACTGAAAATCCTCTCACACTCTGCATTACTATAGGGAACTGTCAAGATGGCCAACATAATTCTAGACAGTTCACTTTATTTTAAAATTCCTTCAGCACCTTTCAGTTTTCCAATTAAACTCCACTGGTTGTCAATCCTAGCTGATTTTATAACTTCATCCAAGTTTTCTAATTGTAAACTGCTGTTATGCAGCTGTTGGAACTGTTTCAATTTTCCCTTCCTTTTAGAACTTCTTTCAAGATAATAATAAATATCAACAATGTGTTCATCCACATTTATTGCTAAAGAAGCTGCCCCTTTTTCAGCTGCTAAATCTAAGAGGTGACAGGTGCACCTCATAATCTGCAAATCTGAATTTTCCTTTCTTAAGATACCTGCAACACCAGTCTTCAAGCCTACCAATACTGGTGCATTATCGGCACAAAGTGCTAAGCAATTATCCAGAGGGACTGCATTTTCTTTTAAAGTTTTAATAATTATCTGTGCTATATTAAAGCTTGTCAAATGTCCTTCTAAAGTGGGGAAAGAAAATAAACTGCACTCAGTTTCTGAAGACTCTGGATTAAAAAAAGGAACAACAATTGGATACAGTTTTGAATCGGTATTATTGCTTCCATCCATA